TTAGACATGAAAATTCTAAATAACCCAAATAAAAATTGGATACTGCACTAAACAAAGAATTCTCAACAGAAGACTCTCAAGCTATCAGGAAAATGCAAATCAACACAACTTTGAGATACCATCTTTTTAAATATTTATTTATTTATTATGTATACAATATTCTGTCTGTGTGTATTTCTGCAGGCCAGAAGAGGGCATCAGACCTCATTACAGATGGTTGTGAGCCACCATGTGGTTGCCGGGAATTGAACTCAGGACCTTTGGAAGAGCAGGTAATGCTCTTAACCACTGAGCCATCTCTCCAGCCCTTGAGATACCATCTTACACCTGTCAGAAAGGCCAAGATCAAAAACTAATGATAGCTTATGCTGCTGAGGATTGGAGTAAGGGGAAGAGTCATTCATTGCTGGTGGGAATGCAAACTTGTGCAACCACTTTGGAAATCAGCAGTTTCTCAGAAAATTTGGAATTAGCCAACCTCACGATCCAGCAATACCCCTCTTGGTCATATACCCAAAAGATGCCCAAGTAATTCTTTTTAAACCTCATTAACAATACTATTACAGACTAAGCTGACAAGAGGCATTAGAGCTATTCTGAAGACCCAGACTCCAGGAGTTGGGGTAGGCCAGACATACAAATACAACACAAGGAAACATCTAACTTCTCATGAATGGGGAGTGAGATGCCATCATCTGTTCACAGGCCCATTTGCTTTTGGTGCCTACAGAAAAAACAAGCCTGTCCAACACTTACATGGTGAGAAAAAGCAAACCTGTAAGTTTACATCCTTGGTTACTTCATGGCATAATATTCCCCCAAGATAAGATATCTTCAAGGAATCCCTTCTGTGAGTACAAAAATTAGAAAAATAAATATTTGAATTAGTTAATCAAATCTTCATGATTATTAAGAATCACCAAAACTATATCAAGAATACTGTGAATTAATGATAAATAGCCTATTAAATGGATAAGGATTTAAAGATATACATGTCATGTCCAACTCTTTGTGCTTTACTAGTGTTTGTTTTCTGACATGTGGTCTTCCTATGATAGGTGTACCCAAACTTCACAATGTATATCATAGCATTGTAGGCATTCAGTTATAATAATTAATGCTACACAATATATCATGGGAGTTTCTGCTTACTCACACAAACTGAAAGGTCAAAGAGAATAGTGTCTGCCAAATTAAGTCAATACCTAGTTTAGAGTGTAGATTTCACTTTCTTAAGTGTGTACATAAAATCTGTTAATCAGACCAGAGGATTGAATGAAAATGTCACATGCTCCCTGAATCAAGAAAGCTGGGTAGAAATGATGCATGCTATAAAACTGGTCCATGTGCATACTCACACATCCTTTCTTACCCTAGCAAGGCCATCTTTCAAACAGCAATTTCAACAAATCCCAACCTCCAAAACTATATTGATTATGCTCACTTATCCATTGTCTTCAATATCTTTTTTCAGTTAATATTTTGACAGCCAGTAAGATTTAATTTTCTAAATTATCTACAGAATAACATGCTTCTAATATTTTTATCATTTTCAAAAATAAGTTCTTATCTTATTTTAAAATTTGTCAGTCTGCATTAAATGCTATTCCTCCATCTTCCTAAAAAACATCCAATTCTCTTGCTTTGACAGAGGCCATCATCATATCCCCTGTACTTTAGCAATGCTGAGATACTGACACTGGTCACAGTCCCAAATTATCCATACATTTTTTGCATGCTAACTTAAAATTTTAATTACTAACAGTAATAAAAAAGGTATCTAATGGGTTGTGAATTTTTTTTTCCATTGTGAAAAAGTACATGACAAAAACAACAGAAGGGTTTGGTTGTCAGAGAAGTTGAGGCAACAGGAATGTGAAATGGTCAATCATACCATATCTGTCCTTCAGAAGCAGTGTTGAATGCTGGTTCAAAGTTCTGCTACTTTTCACTCTGTCTAGAACTCACACGCATGAAATTGTACCACACACACATAGCATGAGTCTCCCTGCCTCATTTCATCCATTCTAGAACATTCCTCATGGATATGCCCAGAGGTGTGTCTCCTAGGTGATTCTACAACCTGCCAATTTGAGAGGCAATATTAACAATCACACATTGTGAATCTTACATCAAATATTTGTTAGGATATATATCTAAAGAAAATGATGAAAGAATCTCTTCATACTCAGTACTGTAGCATGAAGGGGCTTGTTTGTTGGGGTTTATGTCCTGCCTAGTTCCCCACAGCCAGCATACCTCAATGAAAATCACACAGAGATCTCCAAAAGTTACAAAACTGATTGGCCCATTATCTCAGGCTACTTATTAGCTCTTATAGCTTATATTAACCCATTATTCTTATCTATGTTAGCCACATGGCTCAGTACCTTTCTCAGTGGGGCAGTTCACATCTTGCTTCTTTGCTGGTCTGGGCAGAACTGCGGAGGGAGCTTCCTGCTTCACAGAATACTCCTGTTCTCCCTGCCCCACCTCTATTTCCTGTCTGGTTTTCTCACCTATACTTCCTGCCTGGCCAATCAGTATTTATTTAAAACATGATTGAAAGAAAACAGACAATTATCCCACACCACAGTACAGGCATGACTTTAATTGTTAATCTGTAGCAACTGAATTTATACCCTTTTCTGTCCCAGTGTAATGACTCACTAGATATTTCTTTCCTTCAACTCACTTTCTCTGTTGCTACTTTACCCAAATCTTAAAAGGTCTCCAAAATGTTGTCTTTTGCATAAAATTTATTTCTGAATTCAGATAGAAGGTCTGCACTATAATTTGGCTAACAGGCCTTAAGTCACTGTGTAAATGGAGTGAATATTCTTATCCCTGCTGCCTGGGTGCTCAGATGACTTCACTTCTGACCAATGCCCATGAATCTAACACAGTATCCTTGAAACTAAAGAACTGCTAGAAAGTTGTCAACAGCCCTCACTCCCCTGTATCTGTGCAATGTGTGTCCTCAGCTTGGAACACAGCTTTGTCATCCACCTTGGCATTCTGTGACCCTCATAGTTTAGACATGATAGTGACTCTATCATTACTCCAGCTTGCACTTTCATGTTATGATGGTCATTTGCTCTTTCAAAAGAATCATATTACTTTGAAGTGATAATGCTAGAACTAATTCTCATTCTTGATGCCACTTTTCTCTGTATGTCTTCATTCACTGAAAATCTGGGCTGCTTCTAGACTATCAGTGCTTTCCATAATCAATTCTAGTAGTAATGCATATAGCCTTTAACATCTACCCATCCCCAGGACTTTTTAAATGACATTCCATATTATTTATTCACATTTTGAATTAAAAAACAAATTAGATGTATATACTTGCTCATGGACATCTTTTGAAATGTGATGCAATGTAAAGTGGGTACATCAGCAAATGAGTTTCCTCGCATCTCTACTATGATTGTGGTCTGCATCTAATAACAAAATCTACTCTCAAACATTCAGTTGTGCAAAAAGTCATTATTAACTGTGATTAACATGTTGAACACTAGTTCTGCTGAAAGTATTCTTTCTAAATCCAACTTTTCATCTTTACCACAAACTCCCTAACACCCCCAAGCCTCTGATGCTTACGCTGGATCCAGATCTGTTTGTGTGTATGAATAATGCTGATATGAAGATTGGAGTGCTTATATTTCTTCACCATACTGCTACTACTTCTTTAGATATTCACCTAGAGAGATTATGAGACGACACATCAGTTCTTTATAATTTTTAATAGATTTCTGTAGCTTTTTTAAAATGGATCTACTAATTTTCCATTACCACCTATGGTGTTCAAGAGCTTCCTTTTTTCCTTGCAATCTAACACTTAACTTTTGTCGTTTTGATAATAGTTGTTAAATTTTTTTCTTGCCCAACTTTGATTCCATGATCAAGGTTATTGTTTCTTTAGAAGACTTAATCCTAATTAGGTTTCAGAGTGCTCGAAATATTTTTTGAAGTCCTGTTTTTGTGCTTGTTTCTGGGTGAGCTGAATCAATGCAGTGAACAAAATGGGCAGAACTTGTGTGAATGCTGAAAGAATGAGAGTTGTGTAAAAAGAAATTCTTTTTGTTAGGATAGGCTTGCCTGACCAAGACATGCAAAAAAGTCTTTTCCTAAATCAGAAATGGTGGCTCTGAGTTCAGGGATCCTCTTCTATGCCCACTGCTGCGGGATCCCCTCCTACTCCAGGGGCTCTTTATTCCTAGGCTTTTCATATCTGTTTCTTTTGCTTTCTAAATATTGGAGCTCCCCTGTCTCCTTACCTCATCCCATCCGTGTGTACATTGTACCATAACTCTATTTGATCCTGATTCTATGTTATTCATGAGCTTGTATGGCCATGGATCCAAAATTAACTCCCTGGTTTCAAACTACCTATGAGTTCCAGACTCATTCAACTGGACAACTGAAAAATCTGCCAGACCAAGAATGTCATTATTCTAGAAAACATGACTGAAAATACATAATTTTCTCAAACATGTTTTTCCCTGAAGGTATTTGCTGTCAATGTCTATGTCAGACACAGCATCTGTTTTAGTATTATGAAAAAAAGCTGAAAATTATTCTCTTTTTACTTTTCTAGTGCTATTAACTAGAGCACCAGCAAACCCTCAACACAGCAAGCCCTCTCTGGACACAGTTATCCCATTGCCTAGTTCTCTCAAATACAGCAAGTCTCAATGCTTAGCTGGCACACTGTATTGAATTTCTCTGCTTCTTCTTCCATGCTGCTTCTGGGTAACCCACAATGCAACCAGAATCACCTTTCTAAAGTATCCACCAGATCCTAGCCATTTGTCCTTATTCAATGCTTGTCCCTTGGACGACAACCCTTACTCTTACCTATGATTCATCGTTTTATTTTCTCTCACTGCCCTCTAGCTAAACTGGAGTAAGGATAAGGATCTCAAATGGAGAAGCTTGCTGTAAAGAGCTTTTCGATTAGCTCTTGTGCTACTGGAAAATACGTGCATGGAAACCTCTTCTCATTGATAATACAGCTTTAATAAGTAAATGTTCAACTATACAAATTTGGCAAATAGCAGAGGAGTGACACCTTCCAGCGATGCTGGTTTGGGTTTAAAGGCAGAAGGATCATGATGGCCAAGATAGTTTGGGTTTGGCAGGTCAAGAAATAGAGAGATGGAGCAAGTATTAAGTCCCAAACTGGGATAGAATGTAGGTTTAGGGGATGAAAGTTCATAAATTGGAATCTCCAAAGGGGATGATGACACTGAATTAGAAGTCACTGGACATACTAGACTGGGAATCCCTGCCCACCAAGGAAACCCCCAAGTCTCCTGACTTTGGCACAGGAGTAATAGAGGGATCACAGAAGGCCTGGGTCTTCTCCCAGCTTTCCATGTGAGGCTCTGGTACTGCTGGCATGGCAGCGTGGATGCTTAGCTTGAGGTCAGTATCCTTCTTGTAGGTCTTGGGGGTTTGGTTCAGACGCCCTGGCTTGGGAACAAAGGAAACTGCCACTCCATTTTTCATACAGCATTTGAAGGCAGATGAGGGCCTGGGATTTGGGTTCTGTCTTGAGTTCTTTGCCTCTGGGACTTCGAACCACAGTGGTCCATCAAACCGCCTCCTTCCCTTCTTACATTGACTGAGAGCCTTCAGCACAGTTTCCTTAGCACAGGGGTCTGGACTCTTGTCAGGATGCTCTGCAGAGTGGGTTCCATTTACCAGAGAGTTCAGGGTACTGGCTTTATCCTCAGGAAGGGCAATCTTGACCGTCACAGGGCTGCTGGTCCATCCAGGGTTATGTAAACTTGAAAGCCATTGTTTCATACAGGCGCTGGAGAGATCTAGGTCCTGAGCTGTGTCTGCGGGAAGTCTGGTGAAGGAGCGCCTCCAGGTCCCCACCCCTCTCTGGGGCGTGTAAAAGTTCTGGTGGATTTTGGGGCCTGGGCCTTGCTGAATGCAGGTAGACCAAGGTCTAGACCTGGGGGCAGGAGCAGGTAACGATCTTTGGGGGGAGCCCAGAGAGCTGCCCATTCTCACAGCTCCTAAGCAGCCAAGGACCTGCCGAGGGCAGGACCGTTGGCTGTGGGCACGAGGCTGAGAGAGGGTGCTGGGAACACACACGTGCTATTGTTTCAAGACAGTGGGTACACAGTTCCCACTGGCCTTCTCATGTGAAATGTGTATGTTACTCATTCATACCTGTATCTCACCCTTATAAACTATACAATTCTTAAATGTTTACAAATACGTGTGTAATGTGATCCTCAGTCCAGAAACACATTCCTGTTTATTTTCGCCACAGTACTTACCCTCTCTCCAATTCTATATCTTTTAATTTGAATAGAATTATGTGTGGAACAGTCTTGTGTGGCTGGATTATTTTAACATCCATCCCTGCTATGGCATGCACCTCATTTTTTACACCCCAGTTATTTCAATGCAGGGATAGCTGCATTTGTTGAACATTTAGTGAGTGTTAAGAACAATCCTGTTTCAGATGCTGCATGTACACGGGTTTGTGTGTTCAAATCAACCTTGCCGACTCGTGGTGATCCCTTGTTGGACCTTTTAAGAGACCGCCAAGTTGTTCTCAGTTTTGCACCATGGGACACCTAACTGGGAACCTCACTTTCATTTTAGTCTTGCTGTTTAGAGAGAGAAGGTGTAATGATTTTTAAAGTTCACAGAAATTGCATATGGAATGTTTACAGGGGAAATTTTCTTTCATTGTAAGAAAAAATGAGCATTATTCTTTTGAATACTCTTAAAATCAAAACACCCACTTTTCATTTCATTAAGTGGGATACATTTTTCTTCTAGTGCAGTTGTTAATGTCATTTGTTGCCATTTATCGTCTATAGAAATCATGGTGGTAGGACACATCTTAAATTTTAGTACTGATGCTTATGTAGACTACTGAAATATTAGCCTGTTGTCCTCATCTGTGAACACTGATGCAATCTCTTTCATCCCACCCCCTTCCCTTTTCTTGCTGTTCCTCTCTCTTGCTCCCTCTCTTTATGTCTTACTTCCTATTTTATGTTGCTATTATATGTTTTATAGTTTGGATACTGAATTTGCCCCCCTACTCCAAGTCATTCATATTTGGAAAGCTAGTTTCTTCAGTCTAACAATAATAGGAAGGTCATTAGTTCATTAGGGGTGTGCCTACAGAAGAATTCAGGAAGTTTTCATGAGTCTCTGGGCAATCTATCTCAAGGGTTCTGATAGAAGCAAGGAAGCTATTTCATGATTCCTTTAGCTCCCTGTGAAAATGTGATCTACACTTCTTGCTTACAACCCTTCCATCATTGCAACACTATCCACATGAAGCCTTCATGAGAGCCCATCTGATGACAATACCCTGCCTGTGAACCTCCAGAACTGTGATCAAAATAAATGTAATTTTAGAAGGTAGCCTATCCCAGGTATCTCATCATAACAATAAAGATTGGCTGCTGTATGTACAAAGTAAAAATAAAGAGCCTTTAAGCCTAAAAACATAAGGTTTTGATGAATACTAAGTGAATATAATAATAACATTTGAAGGACTGTTAAAGATCTTGTGAAATGTAATATACTCTTAAGCAATGTTCCTAGATGCAGGTGAATAAAGCACACGTGAATGGACCACAATACTAAGTGACAGGAAGCACAGGTAGGCAGAAGAACCAAATCCAAGAACAAACAGATTCCTCCAAGATTGAAAAGAAGTATGTGGTGGACATTAAAAAGATTTTGATAAGACGGTCCAAGTTGTCAGCGAAAAGTCTGAAGTACTGCCAAATGAAATTCTTCCCACTCACTGACTAGTTCATTTTCATCCTCCCAAGGGTCCTTAAGTAATGATCTACAAAATGTAACTTTGAAAACAGAAAGTAATTCTAAACTATAATATTCTTGTCAATCCTGCAGTTCATGATAATGATGCCAAGAACTTATAACTTTGGGAATCCTTCCAGGAAGTATTATCATTATAGTGGCTGGATAATGCCTGAGGGTACAGATTTCTTTAAATGCATGTTTTCTTCTTGGTTCCACAGTTTTCTGTGTCTATGGGAAACTGCAATAAGCTCAATGAATATTGTTTTAAATTGCTTGCCCCAGTTAGCATTAACTGTCAACTTGAAACCCAAAAAGTTGGTCTCAAGTAATTGACTTTATTGAGTTGTGCTGTGTGTATTTCAAAGAAGAATTTTCTTCATTGTTAATTGCTGTAGGAGCCTCTATCCCACAGTGTGTAGCACAATTCACTGGCTTGATGATACAAGACTGTATAAGAAAGCTAGCTAAATATGAGCTATCAAGTGAGACAGCAAACAATATTCCTTCATATTCGTTTGCTTCAAATTCCCCTTTGAGCTCCTGACCTTACTTCCCTCAGTGAAGGGATATAACCTGGAATATGAAGTAAATCCACCAACACCAATTTGCTTTTGAGTAGAGAGTTTAATCAATGGAACAAGAAACCAACTGGAACATTGTCTGTCCTAACATTCTTACTTAAAATATAGCACAAATAGAATGTATACACACAAATGGGACAAGTGTGGCTAGGGGAGAAATCATGCCTCATTGAGTAGCTATTGGCAATTAATGGCTACTAGAAGACATGGAGTCTGCTTTCTTCAAGGCATTCCTTGAGCTGCCACTCATGTGCCAGTAAAAGATTTTTGTGCTCATGCACCTATAAGCAGCACTAGATGGACTCAGAGGGTTTTAAACAAAAAGAACATAAGTTAGAATGGAAAATGATAGTGTAGTTGAAAAAGAGGGAACAGAGGCCTCTATGATCAGCATATGTTATATGCATGTATAAAATTCTCAAACAAACAAAAGCAAATAAAATTCTTTGGAAAAATATAACACGAATATAACACTTAGCACATCCCATCCCCCTCCACAGAAACATTTTCTTTACAATACTTCCCACTTCTTTTCTAGCTTACTCCTTCCCCTAAGCAATGTTGCCTATGCGTTTATTACTTTGTGCTGTCTTCTGTTTGAGCTCGTACGCATTTGTATTTTCTCATTTTGTCAAGGTGAGGGTCAACTTTGGCTTATACTTTTCATTACTTCCCTTAGGTTCCACCTTGAGAGTATTCTGAAGTAAATATTTTAAAACCTCTTGAGATATAATTAAAATACAATACAGCATGTGCATCTCAGGTTTCCTTAGCTTTTGACATATAGACATGAGGGCCCATCACAACAGTGAGCGTTAATGTTTCCATCATCTTACAAAGTAGTGTCTGCCTGAAATTGATCACCTGTCTCCTCCCACCTGCTCTCATTCATCAACAACCACTAACATATACTATATCTCTACTATCATCGACTTTCACGGATTTCTATTTCTGTGGCGTTTCACAGCATGGGGCCCCTTCCGACTGTCTTCTTTCAATGATGTTCTAAATGAATCACCTATGACAATACGGTTCATATCATGAAACTGTTCTGTTGGCATATGCCATTTTAGGCATTTGTGTTATAAATAGCATAGCTTTAAATATTCAGATCTAAATAAGTTTTACTCAAATATTTTCACTTTTCCTAAACCAAAATATCTGGGCCAATTGGTAATGTTCTATGGAAAAACTGAAGAAAGGACCAAGATGATCTCCAGACTGGCGGCAGCATTTTGTTCTTTCCAGAAGTGGATGAGAACCTTGACATCTACTTGGGGTTCTCAAACTGATGATCACCTGACATTTGATTCTATTCTGTGAAAAATGATAGTTCTGCAGACACTGTTTTTTGTTCACTGAGCTAATGATATGGGATATCTCATGAAATTCATTTTTCACTAACATCCCTTTGTTTAAGAGAAACAGATTCACATCTTTTCTTTTTGTTTAGCTGGGCTACATAGTCATTTTATGTTTGTCATGTTTTTCTTTCAGTTAAAAATTCTATTGTCTTTAATCATTGTCTATTGTATTGTGGTTTCAGGAGAACATTTGTACATGCGTTGATAGGGTACGTTGAGCATAATATTTCCCTGCCTCCTTCTCCTCTCTTCTCTCACTCCTTCCCCTTCCTATTAATATCCTCTCATCTCCTAGACAGTTTTATTTCAACTTTTTTTTAAAGTTTATTAATTTAAAAAAGTTTCCATTTCCACCCCTCCTCCCAACACCCTCCCACTCCCCCCACTCCCCCCACTCCCTCTCCTCCTCCCTCTCCATCCCTAAGAGCAGTCAGGGTTTCCTGCCCTGTGGGAAGTACAAGTTCCTCCCCCCTCCCTCCAGGTCCAGGAAGGTGAGCATCCAAACAGACTGGATCCCAAAAAATCCAGTATATGCAGAGGAAACAAGTCCCAGTGTCATTGTCAATGGCTTTTCAGAAAGACCCCGTGCCAGCCACATTCAGAGAATCCAGCCACATTCAGAGAATCTGGTTGGATCACGTGCTCGTTCAGTCCCAGTCCAATTGGCCTTGGTGAACTCTCATTAGATCAGTCCCCTTGTATCAGTGGGTGAACGCACTCCTCACAGTCCTGCCTTTCTTGTTCATGTTCTCCCTCCTTCTGCTCCTCATGTAGAACTTGGGGGTTCAGTCCAGTGCTCCAATGCGGGTCTCTGTCTCAATCTCCATCCATCAATGGGTGAAGGTTCCCTCTGGTCTTGCTTTCTTTGCTCACAGTCATGTGTATATACTTTATTTTATGTATTTATATAAAACTTAGGATCCACACATAAGAAAAAATATATCCATTTTTCTGAGACTGGCTTTATTTTTTTGATATCATTAACTCAATAAGTATTAATTTCTTGAGAATAACATAATTGGGGGGTAAAAACACAAGTTTGATTTCCATTTTTCTGTTATTAGATGATTCATAACAATGCTGCTTTGTATATTGCTCGATAAGCAATAACACACAAGAATATTTGTGATGTGTTGAGATAAAGTTCCTTGGGTAAATATCTAAGAGTGGCATAATTGCATCTTGGAGCCTATGATCTCTCAGTCATGGAGTTTTGGCCAGGATCACTGGACCATCAATGAGCTTCCTTCCTGTGGAGTAGGGCATTAATCCAATCAGAAATCAATTAATTAACATTGACTGG